ACCACACAGAGCTTTGGAGAGATGACTGAAGGGAGACACGAGTACTTTCTGCAGGGAAATGGCTTTTGCTAAGGGATCAGAGATCAGGGATAAGTAACTCTCAGTACTAGCTATTATCATACTGTGCAGTATGCACCATGCTCATATTATTCATACATCTCCAATTTTTGGAAGTGTCTCTAGGGCTCAGTCATAAGAGTACAGTCATGGTACCAGGCCTAGCTGACCCAGGCCCTCCATAATGGTGTGTCTAGACTACAGAGGTTTTTTTTCGAAAAAAGGCCTTCCCCTGCATCTAGACTGCTGCCTTGTTCTTTTGAAAGTAAATTGAATGAATACGGTAGTTCTTTCAACTGCAGAAAACCTCGTTTTACCGGGAAGAACGCCTTTTTTTGAAAGTGCTCTTTTGAAAAAAGGCACTATGTAATGCAAACTGTGCTTTTCCGAAAGAGTGCTTTTCCGGAAATTCAAGAAGCCAGTATAGACAGCTGGCAAGTTTTTCCGGAAAAGTGGCTGATTTTCCAGAAAAAACTGGCCAGTCTAGACACAGCCCTAGTGTGTATCCCCTACAAGCATGGGCTTGGCGGGAGTTTTTCACGATGTTGCTGACCACACCTTTCTTTCTAGCTTTATTGGCACTGGGATTATTTATTGCATAGATAAGTAGTGGAGGCATAATGCTGCCTTAGGAGATGGCTAGCAGACTTACTTAGAGCATTATTAATTGTACAAGTGAAATTATCAGGCTCGCCACATTTTCATTGACCTTTTAATTTTGTTTCTTGTGTAACTTGCACTGATCCCCACACCTCCTACTGGTCATTATTTCAGATCTCCGTGTTATATGTCACCTAAAACACTGGGCTTTGGTTGAGGTGCTTGGCTACAGCTCAAGTTACAAAGGCTAGACTTTCCACAGTGAAGGGGAACAGAGAGGGTCATCAGCTTATACCGGTCAGATCTCAGAGTAGGGCAGAAAGGCAGAATCCTGAGGTGCAATCAAGTAGCACAGTCAGGGGTTCTTTTGAGAGTACCTGTGTTTTCTGGGGCATGACTAAAGAGAGACCTCCTGGGATGGGTTCCTGGGGTGCAACCAGGACTGTGGGACCATAGAACCCTCCATCCTACCCACCCGGGTGTCTCTCTCTGGTTGGTGGGATGGAGGGCTTTATGGTCCCACAGTCCTGGTTGCACCCCAAGGACCCATCCCAGCAGGTTTCTCTTTGGTCATGTCCCAGGAAACACAGGCACTCTCAAAAGAACCCCAGGCCATGCCGGTTGTTCAATGCCAAGGGGGCCGACTGGCCACCTTCGTAAGAAACATCCAAGTTCACAGAGAGCCACTTCTCACGTTTGAAGAACCCTTTCCACCTTTTTGTATTCAAGGAGCAGGCTCCCTGCAACAAAACGCAATTTTATCTGTTGTTTGTGTCCTGAAGTGGCTTCAATTTTCCACTCACTTGTCCTGCTAGACCCTGGGCAACGTCCCTTCTTTAGCTGGGCACTCTCATGGGACAAGAACATGGCGTGGTGTTGTATGACTGACTATAACCGTTTTTATCATTGTCGCTACCAGGGTTATGCAAATGCCATAATTTTTGTACAAGGCATGACCTCTCCATTCTCCATGGCTATGTCTAGACTGCAAGCCTCTTTCGAAAGAGAGCGTCTAGACTGCACGCGGAACTTTCGAAAGAGCAGGCCGCTTTTTCGAAAGAAAGCACCCAGTGAGTCTGGATGCTCTCTTTCGAAGAAGCCCTATTTACATTCAAGAACGCCTTCTTTCGAAAGAAGCCTTTTCGAAAGAAGGCGTTCTTCCTCGTGAAATGAGGTTTACCGCCGTCGAAAGAAAAGCCGCGTTCTTTCGATTTAATTTCGAAAGAACGCGGCTGCAGTCTAGACGCAGGTGAAGTTTTTTCGGAAAAAGGCTACTTTTCCCGAAAAAAACCCTGAGTCTGGACACAGCCCCTGGGAAAGGGATGATTTGCTAAGTCTCATTCTCATGCTTCTATGCATGTGTCATGTTTGCATTTGAAGTTATGAATATTTGCAATCTACTAGCATCTTCCACATGTCTTTTATGATGGGGTAATACCTAAGATAGCTAAGGCAGGGCAGTTATGTGCTCCTTGCCCTTTGAGGAGGGAGGATGCAGTTGTTGCTTTCAGGACACACAGGCTACATCTACACTGCATCCCTCTTTTGCAAAAGCCTATGCAAATGAAGTGCGGATTAGCATATTGTCACACTTCATTTGCATAATTAATTAGGGCCCGTTTTTGCACAAGAGGAAAAAATGAGGAAGAACGGCTCTTGTGCATAAGGCAGGTTTTGCATAAAAAGGAGCTGCAAAGATGATGCCTTTTTGCTCAAAAGCCTCTTAAGCAAAAACGGCCCCTAATGAATTATGCAAATTAAGTGTGGCAATATGCTAATCCACATTTTATTTGCATAGGCTTTTTCACAAGAGGGATGCAGTGTAGCCGCAGCCTTAGCTTTTACAGCGGGCAATAGATTAAAAACATCTCTGGAAGAATATGATCAATGGCTTGCCTTCTGAGTTATCCTATTTTGCTTGTGGTCATGGAGGACCAGGACCTAATATAAATCAACAGAGTAACACAGTTGCAATAAACACAAACCTCTTTCTGGGTGCATTAAGAGGAATGTAATAAGCAGGACATGAGTAGTAACTCTTCCACTTGACTTGAAGCTGAATAAGCCTTGTCTGGAGTACTGCAGTACACAAAGCATCTTACTTAATGGAAGCTGTACAATCTGCACTGTGTTTGTTTGCACATCACACCTACACTGAAGTATAGGCTCCAGTTCTGGACGTCTCATGTGAGGTAAAATGTTGACAAATGGGGGTAAAAAATCTCTAGATAAAACAAGAACAATGATTGAAGGTTTAAAAAAACATGACCTGTGAGAGAAGATTGAAAAACAATTGGGTTTATTTAGTCTAGAAAAGGGAAGACTGAGAGGGGACATGATAACCGTTTTCAGGTATCAGGAGTGTTGTGAGCAAGGCACGAGAAGTCATTCTTCTGCTCTACTCAGCCCTAGTTAGGCCTCAGTTGGAGTATTGTGTTCAGTTCTGGGCTCCACATTTCAAGAAAGATGTGGAGAAATTAGAGACGATCCAGAGAAGAGCAACAAAAATTATTAAAGGTCTAGAAGACATGACCTATGAGGAAAGACTGAAAGAACTGTGCTTGTTTGGTTTAGAAAATAAAAGACTGAGTGGGGGGACATGGTAATGGTTTTCAAGTATCTAAAAGGGTGTTACAAGAAGGAGGGAGATAATTGTTCTCCTTGGTCTCTGATGATATGACAAGAAGCAACGGCCTTAAATTGCAGCAAGGGAGGTTTAGGTTGGACATTAGGAAAAACTTTGTAACTGTCAGGGTGATTAAACACTGGAATAAATTGCCTAGGGAGGTTGTGGAATCTCCATCCCTGGAGATATTTAACAGCGGGTTAGATAGCCATCTATCAGGGATGATCTAGACCAGTGTTCCTGAAAGTGTTCCGCAGAATCACTCTCAGAAACACGTTAACTGGCCTCTCTGGTTTGATTATTTACCGGCACTGCGGCCACAGAGCCTCGCGGCTCCCATTGGCTCCGTTTTGTCCTTTGCAGCCAAGGGGAGCTACGGGAAGTGACGTGTTAATGTGTTTCTGAGAGTGATTCAGTGCAATACTTTCAGAAACTCGGATCTAGACAGTGCTTGGTCCTGCCGTGAGGGCAGGAGACTGGATTTAATGACCTCTTTAGGTTCCTTCCAGTTCTATGATTGTATGTATCTAGGAATGGGAAGATGTCAAGGGTTCTTCCCCACTCTGGCATGATAAATGCAGAAGTGTGCGCCGCAAAAGTACCTCAAAACCTTATCCACCAGGCTTTGGTAAAAAACTTCCCACCCCCAAGTCTTAAAACTCTAGATTTTGGGGATAAAAAATCCGCTGCCACCATCCAAGTAATAATAAAGAAACCAGAGAAATCTCAGTCCCAAAAGTAAAACCAGGACACAAAAATTAACCAATATGAGGTTAATAAAAGAAAAGAGAAAGAACTTTTATTATCACCACAATATTCGTGTTGCAAGGATAATTACTAGATGGAAAAGTCACCAATTAATATACTTATGGGGGGATTTATCTAAACTTCACCCTACTTAGAGATAGTGAAGAGTCTTTTCTTGGAGGGAGATGTTTTGTCTGTCCCACTCAGTAGCTGGAAAGAAACTGCCCTGAGACAAAGGAGGGAAAAACCCCAAAATTCCTTTGTCCCAGTTTGAAATCCCTCTCTGTGTTTTTATTGGCTGACTCTATCTGGCTTAGGTATAGTTGACCCTTTAGTCCCCAGGCTGCTGGCCATCTCTCATGATCATGACAGAGGATATGTGATGATCATTCCACTCTGGCCTACAGCTTGGGATAATAATTTTCCAAGCACATGAACTGTGGGTTTTGTTTGGGACACTAACATTCCACACACAGGGCAGAGAATATCAAAGGTTCCCTGAGAGATCCCCCCATCTTATCTTAATTTCTCTTGGCTGGGCTTCCACAAAGGAAGCTGTGAGCAAGGACTGATAACCCCCAACCTGCTTGGGAAATTTACAGAAAGACTTTTCATTTGATTCCATCACTGATTTGAAGGCCCTAATCAGAACCCTTAAGTCATACTGTACACTCATTTAGTTTCTTACACCACATCATTGGCCTCTATGCAGAGTTCTAGGCAGCATGTCAGCATTCAGCATACCTGGTCAACGAACACGACAAGGCTGAAGATTGAGCTGTGTGGTATCCTATTTTTTTTCTGGCTGCAGCTTTTTTACCTGATTCTTTAAAGAGCACTGTGAGACCAGGAAAAGTTGTAGTGTCTCTCTGACTATTCATTCAGTGATTCAGGGAAGAGGCCTCTACAGCATGTCACCAGCTAGATTTGCCCAGATCTCCGTCTAAAGGCCAAGCACTAGGAGAAAACTTTATGTGCCTCTATGAACAATGAGCCAGAGTAGCCTGGACCTGATCTGTTTGGTCCTCACCCCGTAGATGATGGGGTTTAGCATGGAGGGCATCATGAGATACATGTTGGCAATGAGAACGTGAAAATGTAGGGGCACATTAGTCCCATACCTGTGTGTGAGGGAGGAGAAGAGATGTGGAATATAAAAGACTAAGATAGCAAAGAGATGGGAAACACAGGTCCCAAAAGTCTTGATCCGGGCGTCCTTCGTGGGGAGGCTGAAGATGGCCCTGAGAATCTGGGTATAGGACAAGGTGATAAAAAAGACATCCAGACCCCTCACAAACAATAACACAAAGAGGCCATAGTAGCTACTGATGTGGGTGTCAGCGCAGGCCAGCTTCACCACGGCCATGTGTTCGCAGTGAGTGTGCAGGATGATGTTGGTTTTACAGTAAGGCCACTGCCTTGCCAGGAGGGAATAGGGAAGCACAAGCAGACTGCCACGTAGCACTACTGCTAGGCTAATTTTGGTCACCACTGAGTTTGTCAGAATGGTGGAATGTCTCAGGGGATCACAGATGGCCACGTAGCGATCCAACGCCATGGCCACGAAGATCCCAGACTCCATCACTAAGAATCCGTGAATGAAGAACATCTGGGTGAGGCAGGCATTGAAATCGATCTCCTTGAAGTTGAACCAGAAGATGCTCAGCGTTTTGGGCATGATGGATGAGGAGACGACCAGGTCGGTGATGGCCACCATGCAGAGGAAATAGTACATGGGCCCATGGAGGCTTAGGTCCATCTTCACGACATACAGGATGGCGAAGTTCCCCAAGACGGCTATGGCGTACATAATGCAGAAAGGGATGGCGATCCAGACATGGGACGCCTCCAGGCCAGGGATGCCCAGCAGGATGAAGGTGGAGAGGTTGGTGTGGTGTTGGAATCTGACATGGAGTAGAGCAGGAATATAATTCTGTACCAGAACAGTGTCTCCTTTATCTACCATTCATTCCATAAAATTCTTGTACGTGCTGAGAGTGTAGGGTGATGGCTGCAGTACAAATGCCTAAATAGAGAGACAATATAAATATGAGACACGGCATGCACTACCAGAGGCTGTTCTCATGGGTGAAGCAGATGGATTGGTCTTAACACATTGAAACAGGATATTTTCATGATGAAGATAAATGAACTGTGAAGAACGGACCCTACGAATGCCAGTTGATTTGATGGTGCCCCAGCTGTCAATAATTCCTTTATGTTGTGCTCTGGTAAACATTAATACACACCAGCAGGATACTCGTGGGTGGATACTAGTTATGTTTCATTGACCCTTAATGGAGGCGAGAGAGCTATGCTGCAGGGAACTCCCCATTCACTTAGCTGGTCCAAACCAGAGAGGGCAAAAAATCCAAACCTGTTCCAAGACATTTTCAAGAGGGAAACATCCCAACTAAAACATGCTGACCATCATTGATAGAAACTTCACAGAAGCACCCTTCACAGCAGTGGCCAAAACAAAGACAATGTACAGATTCCTAAAGAGTGGGATGGAGAGTAACCTGCTTGGGACATGTTCTCAGTTTGGATCATCCCGTGTCTATAAAGGACATATCAATTTGTACGTGGGTTCCTGAGATCATCTATCAGAATTAGGGAAAAGCGACGAGGAGTCCTGTGGCACCTTATAGACTAACTGAAGTGTAGGAGCATAAGCTTTCGTGGGCAAAGACCCACTTCGTCAGATGCATGTCAGAATTAGGGAAGCTACCATATGCAGACAGATAGACAATTCAGAAAATCTGGGAAGATTCTGAAAGTAAAAGACAAAGACAGTGGAAGAGATTGAATGTGTACCCTATGGACAACGCCTGCAGGTAATGGGCATGTTCACTTGGGAAAAGAGGAGTTTTCAGACTGGAGAGAAGTAGCTAGTAGGGTCTCCCAAGGGTCAGTCCTGGGACCCATCATATTCAACATATTTATAAATGATCTAGAGAAAGAGGTAAACCATAAGGTGGCAAAATTTGCAGCTGATCCCAAACTGCTCAAGATAATTAAGACCAAAGCAGAATGTGAAGAGCTTCAAAAAGATCTCACCAAACTAAGTTATTGGGCAGCAAAATGTTGATAAATATAAAGTAATGCACATTGGAAAAAATAATCCCAACTATACATACAATATGATGGAGACTAATTTAGCTACAGCTACTCAAGAGATGGTATCTCTACACTACCACCCTAGTTCGAACTAGAGTGGTTAATGTAGGCAACCGGAGTTGCAAATGAAGCCCGGGATTTGAATTTCCCGGGCTTCATTTGCATGTTGCCGGGTGCCGCCATTTTTAAATGCTGTCTAGATCGTCCTGCACCTCATCCCTATCCCGTTCATTGGCAGCCCTCTCACACACACTGAACCCCTTATTTTTGTCCCCACTTTAGAATCTAAGGGGTCCATAAAATTAATCAGAAAAGCAAATCCACAAGGAGTAACGTTCCTTTGGAATAAGAAGCCTAATCCGAACTACCTACTCCGTGCCGCGTGTAGCCGCGGGCACGAAGTCCGAACTAGCCGGCATTTAAAAATGGCGGCGCCTGGCAACATACAAATGAAGCCCGGGAAATTCAAATCCCGGGCTTCAGTTGCAACTCCGGTTGCCTACATTAACCACCCTAGTTCGAACTAGAGTGGTAGTGTAGACATACCCAGAGAGACCTTGGAGTCACTGTGGATAGTTTTCTGAAAATATCCACTCAGTGTGTCTATATTACAGCGTTTTTTCAAAAAAAAACTTCCCCTGCGTCTAGACTGCTGCCACATCCTTTCGAAAGTAAAGTGAAAGAACGTGGCAGTTTTTTTGACCGTGGAAAACCTCGTTTTATGAGGAATAACGCCTTTTTCCAAAAGTGCTCTTTTGAAAAAAGGCACTGATTAATGCAAACAGTGCTTTTTCAAAAGAGAGCATCCAGACTGCTTGAGTGCTCTCTTTCGAAAAAGCAGCTTGCTTTTTCAAAAGTACTGGTTGTAGTCTAGATGCTCTTTCCAAAGAGGCTTGCAGTCTAGACATAGCCCCAGTGTGCAGTGGCAGTCAAAAAGCAAACGGAATGCTAGGAATCATTAAAAAAGGGATAGAGAATAAGCCAGAGAATATCTTATTTCCTCTGTATAAAACCATGGTACACCCACATCCTGAATACTGCATACAGATGTGGTAATCTGATTTTGAAAAAGATATATTAGTATTGGAAAAGTTTCAGAACAGGGCATAAAAATATTAGGGGTTTGGAACGTGTCCCATATGAAGAGAGATTAAAAAGATTGGGATGTATCAGTTTAGAAAAGAGGAGACTAAGGGGAGAGGGATATGATAGAGGTCTATAAAATCATGACAAGTGTGAAAAAAGTGAATAAGGAAAATTTATTTACTTATCCCCACAATATAAGAACTACGGGCAATCGAATGAAATGAAAGGCAGCAAGTTTAAAACAAACAAAAGGAAGTTTTTCTTCACACAGTGCACAGTCAACCTGTGGAACTCCTTGCCAGAGGATGTGATGAAGGCTAGGACTATAATAGGGTTTAAAAAAGACCTAGATAGATTCATAGAGGTTAGGTCCATCAATGGCTATTAGTCGGGTGGGTAGGACTGGTGTCCCTAGCCTCTGTTTGTCTGGAAATGGGAAACCAGGGAGGGATCACGTGAGAATTACCTGTGGTGTTTCCTCACTCTGGGGCATCTGGCATTGGCCACTGTCAGTAGACAAGATACTGGGCTGGATGGACCTTTGGTCTGACCCAGTGTGGCCGTTCTTATGTTCTTATAAGATTGAAGAGGGACCTGACATTGCTCTTCAAACACTTGAAAGGCTTCCCTTAGAAGAGTGGGGGAGAACTGTTCTCCTTTCAGACAGATGGCAGCCAAAGAGGAAATGGATTTAAACTACTGAAGATTTAAATGAAAACTCAGGGGGGAAAAATCCCTAACTGTAATAAAACCACAACAATGGAATGGGTATCTGGGGAGATGTTTGACGCTCCTTCACTTGAGGTTTTCCAAAGGAGGCTGCATAATCATTAGTCTGGGATGGTTCAGACAAAAGGAATAGGTCATCTTTGCAGAGGGGTAGACGAGCTGACCCATATGTTCCCTTCTCAACCTGTGGCTCTATGGTTCTATCATGCATGATCCTAGTTTACACCAAGGTTTATTCACACACAGATCACTGAATAGAGAGACAATAGGGTGAAATTTAATAGCCTGTGATAAACAGAATTTCAGACAGGATGATCTAAGGGTCCCTTTTGGCCTTACACCCCACGAATCGATCTATAGAAGAAGTAGATCAAGCATTTCTATGGACTGTGTCTCAACACACCAACAAGGGAGCATTCAATTGCATTGAAATTCTCAATATATAACACTGGCATAAGAAAATTCTTCACACGATGCCTATTATTATTGGAGCAAAAATCTTAGCTGAATGGGATTCATACACGGACAGAGGATTGTTAGTGATCTTGGTGACCTCATATTTAGTTAAGGCTGCCTGATAACTTGAAATCGAAAAGAAAAATGACTCAGTAAATTGGCTGAACTTTAAGTCCTTGGCTGTCTCCTTCTGGCTGATTTGTTTTTTGGAAAGTTTCAGTCGTAACTATTCAGCCAACTTCAAGTGTTCTAGTGGGGATCCCCAGCACCTCCCTGCTTTTCAGCAGATACAAGTCATGCAACAGCCCCCCCATTAACAGCCAGAGCTGTAAGATGCAAGGGGAGAAGCTGACCATGTCTATGCATTCACACAGCTGGCTCCTGAGTTCTTTACTCAGGTCTTATTCCAAAGGAAGTTTTTTCCTTGGTGTTGGCAGAGTGAAGTATGGTCCATGACCAAAGAATATTGTCCATCTACTAAAACCTTTCATACTAAAGGATCCACTTTGCAACCTAAATGCAGCTGACTTGGGGCTGCAGGCCACGTGCAAAGAGGGACATTTTAACCAATAATATTGGAACAAACTCATCCCCCTTGTGGCAAGGACCCCAACATGATTAGTGGTTGCGAAAAGCAGAAAGGACGAAGACTTACTGCCTATCCCATCATGCCCACGCTGCACTGGGTTTGTCGAGCAGGGAAGCTCCTCAGCAAGAGATCTGTGAGTGCCGAGAGGGATGCGTCTTCCCTGGGAATCCCCCTCAGGCAGCCGCGTCCCGCACCTCTCTCAGCCCGGCATCCCACACCAGAAGCCAACAAGGGTGTGCACTGTTTATAACACATCTCTGGGCAATCCTGGGGAGGTTCGCTCACCCTCTAGGGGAGAAGCAACATGTGCATGTAAACAGGCTGGGGAACAAAGACTTTCTTGGCCGTGTCTCTCCAGTGACTCTCTCTGTGTCTCTGGGCTATTTATCCAGATTTTGAAGTAAACAGTAATTAAGGGCCCTTCCCAAAGGGCGATATGAACTCTTGGGCTCTGGGATGAGTCAGAGAAATTGACAGCTCTGTTCATTTGTGTATATTGAAAAAAATATTGCTGGCTACGAAGATAACTAGGGATAATGCCAGGGTTTCCATAGGCTCTTGTATCTTGTAATTGCCAGGCAGGAGAGGTAGGGTATGTCTACACTGCCACCCTAGTTCGAACTAGGGTGTCAGTGTAGACATACCCGTAGAGAGTGAACCAACAGGTCTGGAGACAGATGACTGTGAGGTGTCAAAACCACTTTCGGCAGGCACCCTGGCTGTTAGAGATCAGTGATTCTCCTCAGTAACTATCATCATCCTGTGCTGCCCCTTTCACGACAGTATCTTCAAATCACCTGGCAGAGGAAAGTCACTGTGATCCTATCCCTTTTATACTGACAGGGAAACTGAGGCACGGACTTGGGCAGGGTTGCACAGAGATTGAGTGATAGGATAACAGACAGAACCAGGAGTCCTGACTTCCCTGCCATGACCATGGTCTCTCTGGCTATGTCTAGACTGCAGGCTTCTTTCGAAAGAGGCTC